GTACTTCTGTAACAAAATAAAAAGGCAACAAAAAGTCCCCTTTCTGACACGTCAAAATGCCTTCCCTTCTTTTTCAATATTTATGGATGGGAGAAATGTTTGGCTGCAAATTTTGAGCAGCACGGTTAAGCGGAAGCAAAAAACTACGTTTGATCATCCTTGATCTTGACGCTATTAAATGAAGTATACTGATTGTTTCCCTAAGATGCAATTCTTCAGGTTAATATGAACTAACTGCTTTGTTCCTTTTTGTGGGGGGAAACTCCGGACATGTCTCTGAAGCTCGGTAGGGAAGGTGCACCTTGAAAATAGTTCCTCCTCCTCGCTGTTCTACAGATAACAGGGTTCCACTTAGAGTTCTGCAGCAATAAGACTACAGACATAACAAGGTCGTAGGGAATCACATAATTGCAACACCCTCTTCGATTAATCCCAGCAGTTCGAAAATGTACGTACTTAATTGGGATCAATCTGTAGAAACATACATGTTAAAAACGCAATACTTAATTACTGACATGAACTTTAAAATAATTATTTTTCGCAATATCACTCACTGGCAAAAACCAACTCCCCAATTTGCCATAATCAATATCACTACCTTCCTAGTGAAAGTAGTCTTATACGACGACAAACAACAAGTGCTTTTTAAAAAGCTCGACGTTTTCCGTTTTCCATCAACTAAGGACATCAATTTTATTTTAAAGCAGTGTGGCCTGTTTTAAAGTAAAGCGAATACAACCCCACTCGCAGTTACGACAGTGATAAGTGAATGGAGAGATGGGTTTGGTCAGAATTTACGGGGTTTTGACGTAAAGCGTATATTTGGTAAAGTTTCAATCATTTAAGTGCTTTTATAGAAAACGGAAAAAGTGTTTCAAACAACGTGTTTTCAGAAAACATTAATCAGAGCATGAATGCCACTCGCTCTAAGCCTGTATTTTGTACTTATTTAAGACGTCTGTTATACAGTTTGCAAAAATATGAGTGAATCGGTTTCGATTTTTTCCATCTATCCCTTCCAGGGACACCGTGCGTTTTTTTTTTTGTGCTCGGTAAATAAAAAGCAGGTTCTGGATTGTAGTTTAAGTGCTCGCGGTCTACTGAAACTGTACATCGGATTATTTTTTTCTTACCCATTCTAATTTCAATTTATTGCTTACTTTTCAAGTCTATATATACAGAAAACCTGGTTGCATTTTTGTTTTTTGGGGGATTTGCATCTAAGTTTGCATTTTATAAAAATATTCCGTTCCTAAATTTGTATTCCTCAACGAGGACCTACTATATTCCTGAATTTCTCCAAGGAGCTTGAAAAGACGCGCTGGTCTTCAATGGCTGGGGATCCCTGGTTTGGTTTTTGGGTGTGCAAAACTAATCCCTTCTCAGCAATCTGAAATGATTCAAGAATGCAATCCCTAACACAAATCGAAAGGCAGGACTGTACCAATTCTGTAAGGCAGAGCTGCGATTTATTCGTACTCGACAGAGTTATGCCCCTTACGGTTTTTAATGAGGACTTGAACATTCTTCCATTTAACCGCACGAAACTGTCCATGGATCCATTAATGGGTTGATGGATGAATTAATTATGGACAAAAAGCAGAATCCGGAAAACTGGGGTTAAAGAGTTGAATATGGGTTTGACGGGCTGGTTTGGGATTTAACTCATCACACGGAAACTAGCAATAAAGTCCCCCAGACGACAGGACTGCTTCTCAGGCGGGAACACGCTCCTTGACCGACGAATTGACAACCTAAATCGAGAGTCGTTTTAGGCTCACCGTGAGCTTTATATCCCGACACCGGAAAAACAAACAACCCAGCAGTTGGGCTGTGAAGTGGGCGAATATTAACTGCGTCACGTCCGGGATCGAGCTGCTGCTCTGAAAACGATAAATTGAGACGGTCTGGAAAAACGATATAGCTCCTCAACTAAAGAAACCGGGCCGAGCTTTCGGTTTGCACAGATCCTGTCTTGACCCTTGTCACAGCTTTCATTAAAACAGTCCCCCCTCCCCACGTAAACTAGTCAAGTAAAGGTCGTTACAATCAGGTCGTTAAAAGCATATTGCATTGTTTTTCCGATTGACAATTATCCTTATAAGCCTCAAAACTCTGTCTCTTAAAGCCAGTAATATGGGTCTCCTTATCTGCTGTCCATCGGGGCGGAAGATCAGCACAGACTAGCAGAGCATCAGCTCGCTGGGCTCAACTGCTCGGAAGAGCATTATTCTAAATTCCTACCAAGAACCACACCTTAAACATGCAAAAATATTGGTCTGCTAACAAAAAGGGTTTCAACGGTCACCATCAGTGGTCGGTTTGGTTTCAGTCATATTTGTATAAAATAAGGTGCTTTTATTGTTTCTTTGCATTTAAACACATAACGAGCCTCAAGTTTAGTCAGCTCAAACCCCTACTACACCCCCCTCACATTCTCCGGAAATCACGGCCACTACTCTCCTGCTCCTTCAAAACAAAAGGTTCAAAAGTAACGGATATCTGGGCGATTCTTGCTTTTTTAAATGCCTGTGACAGACACGTAGAGGCGACACTGCAGTATACCCAAGGCATACAACCACAGCCGCTCTCCAGCACTGGCATAAAGGCGGCGATCTCACTACCATCCGTGAAGATCCCTGTCCGCCACGACGGCTCAGGAAACAACAACTCGGTTTCACCGGACAATGGGAATTAGTGAACGTTTTACACCGCGGGGGGGACTAAACTTGACCTGCCTGTGTGGGACCCTCTCGGACTGAGGAGCTCTGAGCGAGACGGGCCACACGACTGCTCCTCATTTCAAACCTCTGTACTTCCTCCTTCTTGTTACCGCCATCAATCAGGGGCAAAACAAAAAAAAAAACCCAAAACAAAAACGCAGACTTGGTTTAAACTGAGAGTTCCGTCACTGACGTGGCGTCCCTTCCGAACACAGAAACAGAAACCTCAGGTCGGTGTTTTGTTGTTTTGTGGTGTTCAGAAGCGACCCCCTCGATTTCAGAGACTGAGCCCCTCGCCCGCGTCCACACGCTCTCATCCTCGCCGATCTGCACTCTCTCTCTCACACACACACACACAGTGCCTTAAGGTGGCAGGTCACAGATGCTCTGAGGGAACAGTGCTGGCCTGAAACTTTTTTTGGAGGGTGGGGGGAGTGGTGGAGAGGGCTAGCCTTCATTTAAAGGGAGAAACTCCAGCAGCCCTCCCCCCTCCATTAGTTCCCCCTCCTGCCCGCGCCCGGTACTGGGGGGCCAGCAGACAGTGTGTAATTTGATTCAGCGGTAGACGAGGCTAAATGGACAGACTCTCCCGCTCGCTTGTCAATTAAAATCGTCCGATGCCGTCCCCAGAGCGGGGGCCGGCCCTCCCATTGGCCGCCTGTTCGGCTGAAACAGACGTCTGCTCGGGCCGAGGCGGCAGGAGGTCCTATTAGAGGAGCTGAATGGTAAATCCGATCTGGTCTGACCCCCCCGCTCGCCGCTAGCGCCCCTTACATCAAACCCGGGCAGGAGACATCCAGCCGAAGGACGCGAACCGAGGACTGAAGCCGTTTCGGCTCTGCTTTAAAAAATAAATAAAAAACTTTTTTTCCATCCCTCTCTCCACCCTCCCCCCCAGTGCCTTTTTTTTTTTTTTAAATGGCATTTCCAGTCACGCCCCACGGAATGACTGTTACCGCGTTTTGACAGCCGGGAGGTCGAGGGTCTCTTGACCTCTCGGCGCGCCGTGGAGCAGGAACAGGCGCACGGAGGAAAGGCGGGGTCGCACCTGTAACCGCCACGGGCACCGAAACAAATGCCAATCACGGTGCAAAACACACGGGTCTTTTTTTATTTAAAAAAAAAAGGCTACCTTCAAAACAAAATTGAGAAGAAAAAAAAAACCCACAGGTCCCAGCACAGTTCCCTCGCAGACGGTACCCTGTATGGATCGGCGGCGGAGCTCGATCTGTCTGCGGATCTGTGATTCGGAAGGCGGCACCTACAGGACTCCCAGCGGGGGTGTGCCAGCACAGCGCACGGGACTAGAGGATTGGCTTTTCCCTTTCCCTCCTGCCCTGACTGCAGATCTGGGGGTTCACTCAGATCAGCCCCCCCCCCCTCCTCCTCCTCTGACTGGGGGTCAGTGTTTGGGGTTCACAAGGGGGGTGTGTCTGAACCCCGACACCTTGCTCTTCTCCCCAAACCCCCCGAGAGGCAGGAGTGCCTTCCCACACAAAGCAAGCCCGGACCCGCGGTTCTGACCCAGCCCGGGGACTCGGCGGTCCCCCTTTTCAGCACCGGCCCTGCTTCTGCACCCCAGTGCAAAGCCCTCCTGCCTCGTGGGGGTCCCCAAAACAACTGCGACGCACCCCGCACCCCACCTTGTAGAGCACAAATCCAATTTTGAACTGTTCCCCCCCTCCCACACCCACACAAACCCCCAGAACAACGTGACGCTGTGCTAGCAGACAGACGCCTATGGCCGTTACGTTGCCACCACCAAAACCAGCAGCTCTGAAAACTGCCACACATCGTCCGACTGGGAGCAGACCCCTCAAAATCTCCCTCCTCCCTCCTCACCACGCTCCTACAGGCCACTGTTCTGCGCCAGTCCAGCCTCCTACCCCTCTGTGCATTCACCTGGAGCTCAGTGCCAGCGAGCACAACTCCTCCTCCTCCTCCTCCCTCAAAATCAACAACAAAACCCTAAAAACAAGGTCCAATTTTCTCACATCCCCACCTCATCTCCGCAAAAGAAAACAGGGGGGAAAAAAAAGGCTACTGTTGCTTTATAAACCAAAATTTGTATAAAATATATATAAAAAAAACCCCAAAAAATAGTTTGTTCATTTTCGATAACCAAGCAGGGCCTTCTAAAATATCTGCTTGTTTGAGTTGAGTTTTTTTTTTCCCTCTGAATAAAAAAGAAATCATAATCATAATAATAATAATAATAATAATAATAATAATCAGAATCATAGTATAAAAAACAAAGCAATGGAACAACGGTAATCGTAATGTAAAAAAAGGTTTAGGAAAATATTCGGATGGCCTGTGTGACCAGGGTGTGGCAGACCGGGCACTCGGGGTGTGCCAGCTCGCAGATCCGGATGGCGCACTCCATGCAGAAGAGGTTGTGCCCGCAGGGCACCAGGGCGGCTGTCACTTTGCTCTCGAAGCAGGTCATGCAGTCCCGGCTGGCGGGCGGCGAGTCGGGCAGGGCCAGGCGGGAGGGGAAGACGGCGCTGGCGGAGATGGGCTCGCTGTGGGCCCGCCGGGCCTGGGCGTGGGCGGGCGCGGGGGCGCCGGGCTCCTGCAGCCCCGGGGACAGTCTGGCCAGGGGCAGCGGCAGCCCCCCGAAGCTCTTGGAGCGCTGCTGGGCGTAGAAGGCGGCCGGCTTGGGGTAATCGGGGTCCCCCCAGCAGGGGGTCCCGTCCGAGCCGAAGTAGGAGGAGGGCTTGTCGCCGGGGAAGTCGGGCTTGCCGAACCCCCCGCCCCCGGGAAGGGGGTCCAGGAGGCTGCTGTTCTGCCGGTAGCTGCTGCACAGGGGCTTGCGGTGGGCCTGCAGCCCCCAGACCTCCTGCAGCCGCGTCTCCAGCGCGCCGCCCTCGCCCGCCAGGCAGTCGTTCTCGTTGTTGAGGTCGTGCAGCCCGCCCGTGCGGAAGGCGATGTGGGCCTCGATCTCCTCCCGCGCCCGCTCCGCGTTGCCCGGCGAGCCCGTGATCTCGAAGACGGGGTCCCTGTCCCGGCTGGGCGTGACGATGTAGGTGCAGGTCTGCTGCTGGATGCGCTTGATGGTGGAGCCCTTGGGCCCCACCACCAGCCCCACCACCCGGTAGGGCACCCGCACCTGGATGGTGGTCTGGCCGGGCAGGGCGGGCGGGGAGCCGCTGAAGGACACGCCCAGCTTGTTCCGGGACGCCCGCAGCATGGAGAAGTGCTCCGCCGCCGAGATGATCTCCCGCCGGGCCAGCGCCACGTCCTCCTTGCGGCCCGTGATCAGGAACACGGGCTCCTCGCCCCGCACCGGCGTCTTGATGTAGGTGTTGGTCTTGGCGCGCAGGGCTTTGATCTTGCAGCCTGAGGACAGAGGGGGAGAGAGAGAGAGAGTCAGCATCAGGCTGCGCCTCGTTCTCTCCTGCTCTGTGACGCGAGAGAAAGGTGAGCTGCTTTTACTCTGCGGCGACTACAAATAATGGGCGTAACGGTGGCACACTGTTCGGCAATGTTCTGGGGCCCTGGGTTCAATTCTGGACCTGGGGTGCTGTCTGGGTGGAGTTTGCATGTTCTCCCTGCATCCATGTGGGTTTCCTGTGGGGACTCCAGTTTCCCCCCTTCCCCCCCAACAGAGACATGCTGGTGTCAACTGGTTTCAGGGAAAATGGGCCCAGGTGTGAGTGTGAGTGTGTGTGTCTCTTCCCTGCCTGGTCTTGTGCCTGTTTGCTGGTTCAGGGTCTGGCTCCCCCTGAATTGGACGAAGCCGTTCCAAAAATGAATGTATAGATAAGACTACTGCACATACAAATCCTAAATTTATTAATATTTAGTATTATTAAGACCACCAGTGTGTTTAACTCTGCAGAGTATCAGACTGCTTTCATCTCTAATGAGTAAACTTCATTTATGCCCAACACACACACCAGTCTTATCCTGGGGGAACTGAGATCCTGAAAGGCTTTCTCACCAGCTGCCAGAGTACCTACCCCCTAATGGGAAACAACGGTAGCGATGACCAAGGGCTCTTTCCAAATGACTCATCCGAATATCCGGAGGGTTTTCCCTCGGCGGTTTATTAAAACGCACCAATCAGAAAGGGGGAACGAGACGCCAGGTCAGGCCCGTCACACGAGAAGGTGTCTTTCTTCACCCGTGTGTTTTTCACATGACAAAAAGGGACAGCGCAGACAAGAAACAGACGATCTGGTGTCTACAGTCAGTGGCACTGGAGCTCCTGATGGGAGGTCTGGTGCGCATCTCAGCCCAAACCCAGCCTGCGCGGGGTCTCAAAGAAGCTCTCGCCCTCCTGCTTTCCTAACACTAAAGCCCCGGTGGGGACAAGACTGTATTTTCTAGCTCACAGCATCCATGTCAGAGACAGACACAATGGGTGCTGCAGGGGAAATCTGATTTTCGGGCACGTGTGTTCCTCTGAATTAGGGATTCGGGCTCTGGCTAAAACTGAACCACGAACCGATAGGTTTGCAGTTGAAGACCGTTGCTCTGGCTGAAACCCGAACCAGCGCAGTGTCGTTTTGCAAGGTCTTATTTAATGAATGAAGTGTGACATCACACACCCCTCGAAATCGAGGAAAGCTCTTGATACAGAACCACCTCAACGGGACAGCAGTGCAGCTACAGCTCAAAGCCATGTAAAGAATTTTGTTTCGGGGGGCCCAACACGCAGACATTAGCATCTATCTTGCGTGTTAATCCCAGCCAGGAACTTCTTATTGCAGCCTCCTCTGGCCACAGCTACACCTCTCTCAGATTCGAGAAAAGGAAGACGCCCCCAATTATGGGGCTGCTGATAAGAGATGCGCGAGCAAAGGGCGGTCTGTCTGATCGGAATATTAAACCCCACACCGCAGACTGCACAGGCGGTCTAGACCAAACCAAGTCTGCTACCCGAGACTTGGCCATCTGTCTCTGCCACAGTCTCCAGACAGAAGGCACGATTCGTCAAAACCCCAGAATTGCTCCAAAATGCATATGCCTTCCGCATGGCTAAGAGAAAGGACAGCTGTGTGTTCGCCAGCTCGATTCACAAAGCGGAGCCCGCCGTGCACCCCTGACCCAGCGCCTCACCAAAACAGCACGTCCACATGCCCCCTCCCCAGCAAGCAGAGGACACTGACAGCACACGAACCCCCCTGGGCTCTCTGGACACGCCCTGAGGGGACACAGGCTGCCTCCAGCAGGGCCGCACTGCTTTTCAGACCCAGCCAACTTCTTGAAAAGGTGCAGCTCGGCCACATGGTCAGCGGCGGCCGGCTGACATGACCACATCTGCGAGACCGGACACGCCTCGGCCCCGCTGAGCTCTCGGCGGCGCGGAGCGGCATGGACACGGGCGCTCGAGGGAGGGTCACGGGCACCGTGACATCGTTCACCTGCGAGAAGACCCCCAGGCACCAAACCGAGCAGCCACCAACACGCCCGAGTGTCCGGCCGCCGCCCAGCAGGACGAAGCCTTGACCACAAGCCCGGAGCTCCTCACGGTGAGCTGACCCCTCTCCAGGGGACCAACCTCTGCACCCCTGCCAGCATGACCGCGTTCCATAAGTAAAATAGCCTTCCCTGCCTTTTCTCACACCCCAATCTGCACCGGTGCATGCAGAAGTCAGGGGGGTGGGGCCCAGGTTGTTGTGAAGGGCAACTGGCTGGGCGTGACCCCCCCCCTCTACAGCCACGGTGTGCAGGCCCTGTCAACAAAGGCACCCCCTCCAAGCCACTGTTCCCCAAAGGGGCTTTTCCGTGCAGTCTGATCGCCGAGGTCAGACTCTTAACAAGAAGGTGATAGGTCACCCCCACCAACACGCCCCCCTCCCGCCGAACGCACGGGGGAAACTCGTCTCCTCTTCCGCCAAAGTCATGGGAGAAAACCTCGGCATGGGTCAACGCATCGGCCTCCCTCCCCCCCGTCTGCTTCACATGTGGAGGGGGCGAGAGGAGAGCCTGCGCTCGGGGCTCGGTACGCGCCGCACTTCGCCAGGAAGTTTTCGTCCGACCGCCTCCCGGGGTCTGCCGGGGCTAGACGACTCCTCAAACCCCATTCCTGCTTTCGAGGAGTCGGGACACGCGTCGGGCGGCGCACCGTTCAAACGCCCGCCTGCCCCTGTTGTTGTTTTTTAAATACCGCCACGAGTGGACGCGAATCGTCATTGGTAACGCCAGACTCCCCCCCGCCCCCCCCTCGCCTTTGTCCGAAACTCGACTCCGGGAAACAATGAGCGGACTGGAACATGTGCCGGCGACGGAATCAACGCTAATGCACCAAACAAACAACAACAACAACAACAACATTGGCACCGGTGCCGAGGTCTGGACTTTGTGGCTGTGTGGAGGGTTGAGGAGAGCTCAGGCAGCTCGGAGTCGTGCTCTTTACGACAAAGGGCGCAAGAGTTCGCCGGACCCGGCCGTCTGTGCGTGTGCGGCGCAGCGCATCGTCAAAAGACGAGAGCGCCGTAGACCAGGCTGTTTTTGTCCCGACTTGCGCGGCAGAGACATGGTACTTTTATTCGGTGTCTTTTTTTAAAAGCGATCGATGCAGGAACGCGGAGAGAGAGGGAGGGGGTGGGGTGTGTGGAGCTGGGATAGAAACAGGCTGCATCACTTAAATCTCTTTGTAACGTGGAGAGCGTGGGTATGTATATCCACATCGATAACGCGCCCCAGCACGGCGACGGTGACACAGTTACGGATCCCCAGCAGCCGAAAGCAGGAGAAGGGGGAGAGGGGAAAAAAAGACACCCCCCTTTCTTGAACAATATGAGGTAACAGTCCCCAAGTCTTCGCACGAACGCGAAACCCGACCCAACACAAAACAAGAAGAGATCGCAGCGATCGCCAGCACTTTGTTTCCCCACCTCCCATCCACACAGTTTTTTTTTTATTCCGACCCTTTGTCTTCGCGTTACCTTGTCTGCCCACTATCTCGGCCACATGCTCGGAGCTGGGGACGGGCACGCACTCCGTGATGTTGCAGCCGCGTCCTTTCGCCTCGGCGCAGCTCTCGTACAGGACGCACAACTTGTTCTTGGGCTGCAGGAGACCTCCGTCGCCGCCGCCGCCGCCGCCGTTGCCCGTGTGGCTGGTGGTGCTGCTGCTGCCGCCGCTGCTGCACCGGTCCGCCGCCTGGACGCCCGCCGCGGGAGCGCCCCCGCCGTCCTCCGGCTCCCCGAGCCCCAGCAGCGACAGCTGCCCCAGGGCGACCCGCAGGGCGCGGGAGTCGTCCTCCTCCTCGTCGGGGGGCAGCAGCAGCCCCTCGGTTCCGAAGCCGGAGCCGGCTAGAGCCCCGCCGTAGCCCCCATTCTTTTCCATGATCCCTGCTAGAACCAGCAGGCTAGGCATGGCTAACAAAAGAGTATGAAACAAAGACAGGGAAAAGAGACTGGAGAACAGCGACGAGCCGCCTCCTCCTCCTCCTCCCCCCCTCTCTCGCTTTTTTTCGGTAGTCCCTCCTCCAGCCCGGCCCCCACTCCCCGCTCCGCCGTCTGCCTCCTTTCCCTTCGCTCTCTGTCTGGAGAACTTCAGGGACTCACCGTCTTGTCTGCAACCCCAGCTCAGGCCGCCCCTCGCCCCACCCCGTCTGTCTGACACCGGCCCTCTCCCCCTCGGACGGGCCGGGCCGAGCCGGACTGAGACCTGCGGGGGTCCTCCCCTGCCGGGCTCTCTCTCCTCCCGAACCCCCGACCCCGCCGGCCCCGGTGACTGCGGAGCCCGTCAATGATATTTTCTCTTTTTTGTGTGTGTGTGTGTTGTTGTTGCCGTTCCCTCCCCCTTCCTGCTCCGCGGCGCTGGAACCGGCCTCCGCGCGCCCGCTGACGCAGCGCCCCGCACCAGCCTGTCGACAAGCGCGCCGCCGGCTGGGAGGGAAAAGCGGGATCAATCGCAGTGTGAGCGGTGGCGGAGGAGGAGGAGGAGGGGGGGCCGTGCCGTGGAGCCCCAGAGCCGCCGGGAGGTGCCTTGTTTTAACTGCCCGGGGGGCGCCCGCACCTCCACCCGGCCGGAGCGGGGCGACCCGGCCGCGGGCAGAAGTTGTTTTCGGCCGGCGGCGGGTTGAGGCGAAGCGGCGTGGTTCCGCCTCAACAAAGAGCGGCGACTTTAGGGTTAGGACTTGATTTAGGGCCGGGGAGTGGCGCGGCGGTGCGGTGCAGCGGGGGGGGGGAGAGGCGCTCTCTTTGTGCGGCTCTCCGTGTGCGTGCAGAGGGGCTCCTTCGCCCTCTCCTGAATATGCATCGAGCCTGTAGCAGGTTGTACTTGAAGAGCGGCTCAGGCCCAGACGCTGTGCAGATGGGCGGGGGGGGGGGAGGGAGGAGGATGAGTCTGCAAGCCGTTCGCCAAACCAGTGCATTAGTTGCCGCCTCCCCGGGAGCCCCTCACCCCCCTCCTCCTCCT